TAAGATTGTATGTTAAAGTTTAAAATTGTTATTACTATGAAAAAAGCAAAAATTTTCAAGCACAGATGTAAATTTTTTAAATTATTGTTTAAATAAAGAATTTTTTCAATTATTTGTTTATTACTTATATAGTTCTTTATGAATTAATCAATACTCAAATTTTTTAAACAGTGTACCTTGTAAGTGTTACACTGCATCCCTAACTCTAAACACATAGTAGAGATGCAGTTGGTAAAATCTTATAAGTTGAAAGTATATATATATATATATATATATATATATATATATATATATATATATATATATATATATATATATATATATATATATATATATATATATATATATATATATATATATATATATATATATATATAAGAGAGAGAGATAAAGAGAGAGAGATTTCACTGGCTAGAAAATGATATTTTCAAACTAAAAAGTTTCTAACTAAAAATATGTATTCTTACAAAAAAAATTTATTATAATTTTTTTTTCTTCATGTTTTCTATAAAACAATGATGATTTTTGAAGTTTTTATATAATTTTGCTTCTTTTGAGACCCAACATGATATACTTTTAAAGAACTATTTGTTTGATAATTATAGGGACCTGTCTGATGTTTAAGGGTCTTAAGCTACCCCTAAAAAATTTTTTATTTTGAAAATTTTTTAATTTTTAAAAAAAGATATTTTAATAAATAATGTGTGTATATATACAGGGCTGGCGCGAGTAGGTATCATGTGGGGGGGGGTGCAATCACAACTTTTGGCGACTAAAAAAAAAAAAAAAGGTCCTCGTTTTCCAAAATTTGCTGACTGTCATGACGACATTTGCCTACTTTCTAACCGTCGAAAATGTCGAATGGGTCGACATTTGCCGACTAACTAGTCTAAAAGGTCTGATTTGCCGACTAAGGGTCCAGTTTGCCAACTAAAAATCATTGATGGGGGGAGGGGGTGTGATTATATATACAAGGCTGGCGCAATAGGGGGGTGTGACACACCCCTCACACACCCCATCACGCTGGCCTTGTATATATATATATATATATATCTATTTATTTGTTAGCAATTATTATATCATCAAGTATTAAACTTTTATTTTTTATTTAACCTTAATTGAACTACCAATTGAAAGAAGGGAAAAAACACCACTTTTTGGCATATTTACTTTTCAACATATTTGTACATGTTGTATAACAATTTAGTTATATAACAAATATAACATTTAGTTAAAAATATAAATTAAAAAGTTAGTATATATTATAATTAAAACACTCACATTTGGTTGAACTCATTTACATTTGAAAATATATTTCTTGGCTAACCATTTCTCTTTTTGAACCACTGTGCTTCTAATATAAATACTTCTAAATACAATATAAGTATAAGTACTTTTTACTAAATCTTAGACCCTAACACAATTTTTGATTGATTGGAGGTTCATTACCACCAAAATTATCTAAAACAATCTGTTACCAGTCACTTTTTATGTCTTATTAGCAGAATGACACCAAATACTTTCTGTATATTAAATTTAGAGACCTTAGGTGTAACCAGATCAAAATGAGTATTTGCATAATTATTTATTATTATTTGGTATTTTAAATGTGCGAAAATTATCTATTGGTAGCAGTTAATAAGCTTTGATACTTCATATTAAAAAGTTATTTAGTCTTCATCATTTTTTTTTAACTTTTTGAAAAATGCTTTGATCTTATATAATTTTTTCTTGTTTCTAAAAACAAATTTATTTTTATATAGGGTGCTGATGGTTGGATTGGAAATGATGAAGAAGAGTTAACTGGATTTAGCTGGAGAGGAGGTGCTGAAAGAGAAACAACTGGAATATTACTATGGAGTGAACCGTTTTTTTCAGTGTTGCCTAGTGGCGAGGAGGTAAAATAATTTTTTCAAATTTATGTTATGTCTTGTATATCACTTATCTATTTTTCAAATTATGATATTTTTTAAAATTATTTTATATATTATATTTAATGAATGCAGTTTTAACAGTTTATTTCATTTGTTCAGGTTGTAGTTTTAATTATGGATACTCAGGGTGCTTTTGACAGCACATCAACAGTGAAAGATTGTGCTACAGTTTTTGCATTAAGTACAATGACAAGTTCTGTACAGGTTTTACTTTTACTTATATGTCAAATATTTCTTTCAAGCATAAATGCAACAATTAATTTTATGCTAAACTCAGCTTTTCTTGCATATTTTTTTTCTAATTTACACACATAAATTATTTAATTGTTAAATTATCTTATTAATTTACCTTGCCAAAAAGTATTGTTGTGTGATGTTTGTTTTGTTGTGTAATCTTGCTTATTAAAAATGTTCTTTGTTGTATAATTTTGTTTGTTTTGTTGTATGTTGATTATATTTTTGTTTGAGTTCTTGTAAGTTTGATTGATCCTTTTAAATGGTTATTTGTTTTGTTGTTTGATGATTTGAGTCATGACCTTTAGTCATCCAGTGAGTTAGAGTTTATAAATTTTTTTTTCTGACAAGATATGTTAAGTTAGAATCAAAACTGTGCCAAAAAATAATTTATACGCATTAAAATTGATTTTAACAAAATTTAAAATTTTTTTTAAAACATTATAAAATTTTTTTTGAAAAAGTTTACACAAGTTAATATAGTTCTATTTAAAATAATTGATATAAAATTTGATGTCTAAAAATAGCTGAAATGTAAAGACTTTTAAGTAGCAATCAACAAGCAAATTGTAAGCGTGTGACCGATCCTACTGTTGAAAATTGTAAGCGTGTGACCAATCCTACTGGATTGATAAATGTAGAAGTTAGAAAGTCTACAATAACAATTTTACTATCAGAAAAGTGAATTTTGTTTGTTTTACATAAAAGAGTATATTATGTTTGTTTTGTGCAAGAAGAGTTCTGTTTGTTTTGTCAAGAAGAAGAGTATATTTCTTTTTGTTTTGCATAAAAGATTTTTACTTATATTTTAAATACTATATTATTACTTTTTAGTGTTGCTAAAATTATTAAATATAATTATTAGTTGTAGTATCATTAATTAAACAATTGTTTTATTATATTATTATTTTTAATCTATTGATCTGTAAATGAAAATATCTTGATGTTGTTATTTTTACTAATTTTTTTGTTTTTCAAATTTATATATATTGCTCCATATATTTTCATTTATACTAAATACTAAGATTAAAAAAAAAAATATTTAATTACATCTAATTGCAAAATAATAATTTTATTTCATTCCTGTCCTCAAGAAAGAATGAAACTACATTAAATGTTGCTGCTTGTGTATTATATTATAACAAAGTTTCTGCAGTGTAATTTGAAACAATTTTTTTTTACTAGTTATTATTAAAATGATCTAAAATTATTGAGATCTAAATCTAAAAATTATTAATAACTTTTTTTCAAGATCTTTTTTTTTTTTAGTTTTTTATTCTTTCATTTCTTCCAATGAAACCTGTTTAGTGATTTTAACAATGTTGTTAAGACCCGTATATATATGGTATTTTAATATAGATAGATTTTATTACTTAGATCCTTAGCCAAAAAAGTTCACCTTTTGGAATCTTTTTCTTTTTGAAACATATGTACTTAGTGTGTACTTGATCATTTGACATCTGCAAAAAGATATATAAAAAATGATTTTACTTTGACTTTGTTTAAGGATGGTTTAGTTTTTATAATAGCATTAGCTATCATTAACTGTTGGAAAACAATCTTGTGACTAAAATATTTTTTAGATGATGTAACACAAAATGATAATAAATTTGTAAATTAAAGTTGTAGGTTATATATAAAAAATAAAAATAGATAAAGTTGCATATAAAAATAATAATAAAAAATAACAAGTCAAATAATTTATTCAATAAAAATTTTAGTTTGAATTTTAATGCTTCAAAACATTTTTTGTTTTGTTTAAAAGAGGAAATATTTGAATATATACTTTTTTTGTTTAAATAATTTTAACATATTTTTATTTTTATAATTTATAATTTTAACAATATTATGCTTTCTCATCTTCATAAAATATTTCTATCTAGTTTAAAAGACAAATCTAATTGTATAATCTATCAACTTTAATAGACAAATCTAATTGTATTAGATTTGTTCTATTAAAGTTTATTATTATTAGATTCTTTTCTGCAAATTTGTTCTATTCTGCAAAGGATTCTCTTTGAGCTTTTGATATTAAATTAGTTTTCATAATAATATTTTATGTTTAGAATGCTTCTTGTAATTTTTAGTTTTATATCTTGTGTTAATATTTTTGCTGATTTTCACTAAAATAATGTGTTGTATTTTTGATTTTTGAACTGTTTTCAAATATATCTTCCAGTTATTGGACTTGATTTGAATTGATCTCTTGAAAAAATTAGTTAATTAATCTTTACTTAATATACAAATTAAGGAAGATTTACAATTCTGATGAGTTTGCTTCTATCTACAGCTTCTAACAAAATCCTTTTTTTTTTAATGACATGCAGTAAAAAAATTTAACAAAGTTTATCTAACATCAGGAAATAAGGATGGTGAAAAACTGCTGTTGGTAATTAGAATGTAATGAATGTTGTAATTTGAATCTAAAAGTCACAACATTTGAAAGGTTTCAAAGTGAAAGTATCACAACAAAAGTTGTTATCTGCAAAAAAGGTTAACTCTAGGAAAAAGCATTTTGTTGTAAAAAAATAGCTTTTGCTTGCATGTAATGTCATAATTAGATAAGAAAATTGCATTATAGAAACCAATTCAAACCACACTAGTGTAGAACTATGGGAGTTAACATGACAAGCAGAGGGTACTTGGTAAAGTCTTTGGCAGAGTATAACCTGGACAAATATATCGCACAATATGTGAAGCATTTAGAAACTGATACAGAGATAATGAAATTGATTGAAAGACAGGTAAACATTGTCCATGACTTTTGATATATTACTTTTAATTCAGTTTAAAATTTAATGAAAAGTTGGTATAAATTTTTTTTTTACAGGACTAACATTTGAATTTTTATCTGATCCAACCTTCTAAAGGTCTGTGAAGTACTTCAATCCAAGTGTGACAGTTAAGGATCCAACCACAGTCAAGAGCTTCAAGGTCTTATTCAGATAAAAGAAAAAGGCAATGCTTTATTTTATATGTGGTTGCAACCAATAGCAGTTTGTGATGATGGCTTTATCAGTTTTAGAAACTGGCTTCAGTTGTGAAATTTATAAATATTGAAAGTTACTTGTTTTCAATTGACACTGAAGTGGTCATTCAATCTTGTCTAAATTGCATCTTCAACCTTAACAAATATATCACAAAATGGGGGTAAGGGTTTTAAAGTTATGAAACTGGTGTGGTCTAACAAATCTGTAAGGATCTTCAGAAAAGTGATCTAATAAGATTTGGTGACTTAGGTAAGACTACAGTTCCCTTTTTTGTGAAGTGCTTAATCCATTCACACTAATAAAGCTTTTTTTTCAAGGAAATGAGAGTTTATGATGATGTAATCCAAAAACTGATTGAGAAACATCAAGTCCACTAGTTTTTACTCAAGCAAGAAAAAAAACTTTAAAGCAAACAAGATTTAATGGATACCCTCTCGACCTGGAAGTAGCAGAGTATCTTTAGGCAGGATAACTGAGGATAAAATTGTGTTGATTTTCAAAATTATAGATAGAATACAAAAGTTTTGGATAATTATAAAACTTTTTTTTTAGCTAGTAAAAGCTAGTCCTTGAAAGGAAGCTGAATTTTTAACATTTTTGCCTGGTAGATCCTGGATTCCTGAATGATGGTAAAAACACAAGGATCAGTATATAAGATAAAAATTCAGGGGCGTGCAGGCTCCGAAAAGCAAATGCATTATTTTTTCAAAAAGGCTCATATATGCGGGATTTTGCCAAATATGTTTGATTTGAAGGTCCACATGTATATATATTTAAATATATATATATCTACTATAGCATATTTATATGTGCACTTGCTCACTTTTTTTGCTCATCTAAATCGATAAAGGTTTTTTAGAAAAAGAAGAAAACAAAGAATAATGAATGAAACGGTTGCTGCCCTATCCCAAAACCTTTAGGCTATGTAGCAGCACTCCCCTGCAAGTCAGGCTATTTGTCAGTTGATGCTCACCTAACTCAGCAGTATAAGATATATTGTAATATATTTTAATAATACGACTAAATAACTGTACCTTTATTTAGTTGTATTATTAAAATATATAGATATATATATAGTTATTTAAATAACTATTAATTTAAAGATTGATAGATAAAAAATATTTGTAAATCTTCGCTCACGAAAAAAAAAGTGTACTATATGGAACACCCTGAGCTGTATAGAAGTGATGAAAAATTATTTATAATAAACACATCCTCTTGTACTAACGCTTGTACTTTACAGTTTGTACTTTAGAAACAACGGTACAACAATTTTTTTTTTTTTTTTTTTATGTGCCCCAAGAAGTCCTTATGGTTTTATCAACTTGAATTTCAAATTGAATGTATACACTTTTTAAGATTTTCTATTCTATGTCAAATCTTTAAAAAAAAAGAAACTATAATTACAACAAACACGGATTTTACAACTATGTTTTTTGAAAAAAAAAGCGGTCACTAAAGTTTATAATGTTAAATATTAGTTTCAATGTATTTGTGGTCCCTGAAATGAATGAATCTGGAATACTTACAAATAGAAATTAAATGCTTTATTCATTTATTTGTATATATAGAAAAAATATTTAACTACTTTTTAAATATCTGTAGAACATACAATAAGAGCATTTTTATAAAAACTCACAAAAACTATTTATATTTAAAAACGTTGCGATATTTGTTTATGAAAAAACAATTAATTGTTTTAATTTAACAAAAATTTTATCAATATGAATATTTTTCCATAATTTAAATTTGAACACAATTATTCCTCGTAATAATCATTGGCTAACTTAAATAATTTTATCTATATAACGACTGATATAATAGGCGATTTAGGTGACATAATGACCAATTATTTTTTCCCATATCGACTTTGTTTTGAGGCAAAAGTTGCAAACGGTTGCATTTTATTATGCAAAATACTAATATATATGCGCTTGTAGTCCAACAGTTCCAATCAAAGATTTGTTAAAGAATTTAACTTGTGGAATAAAAAATAAAGCAAATAAATATCATTTGTGAATCATTTTCAGAATGCAGTAAAGGGTATAAAAATTCGAAAAAAAGACCTTTCTAGGATAAAAAGCGATAGGCCCAAGCAGGATTCCCGCATAGCCTCTGGGGCCAGCATGCCACTGTAAAAATTGCTTGAACGAAAATTGAATTAATTGAATGAAATATTAAAATTTATAAAGTATGGTTTTTGTACAATTAAATTTTTCATTAAACAATTTGTTGTTTCTTTTTATAAAATAGACTTGGGTAAAACTAAAAGTAGTACATATCAAATAGATGCAGGTTGTTATGAATATTAGTTACATATTGTGATAAAAAAAATAGTTTTTTGAAAAAAACATTTCGTTTTTAAATATGCATTTAAAAAAAAAATTTTTTTTGACAATTACCAAATATTTCTTAAAATTTATCTTTTTGTTGTAAATGTTTCTTGAATTTATATGTGGTTACTTAAAAACATTATTACAAGAATGAAATTACTCAAAAAATTTGATTTTTGTAAATATTGGAAGCAAAATTTTTTTTAAACTGGAATAAAAAGGTTTTTTGTGTTGTTTTGCGCAAATTTTTTTTAAAATTAAATTAGAATTATAACTATATTTTTTTCTTTTTATTTAAGGTTTACAATATATCTTCAAATATTCAAGAAGATAATCTACAACATTTGCAGGTAATCTATAGTTTGTTGCATGATGGAGTATAATGCAAAAGCATATTTATTAATAATTTTTATTATTATTATTGGTATTTTGTTAACATCAGGATGATTTACCTTTAAGGGTAAAATATACAGTCTGTAAAATATACAGTCTTACTGTATTAAGTATTACAAGGGGTAGGTGAGGCTCCTTAATAGCATTAAAGTTACCATATCTAAAAGTAGGGTAGTTCTAATATAAAATCAATGATTTAATTGTTGAAAGGGCAGGATGAGCTTGTATACCTTAGATGGTAATCTACCTTTGGTGTTGATGGTTTCTACCTATGGTAAAATACCTTTGGTGGTAATCTTTCTAGTGGTAGTATCGCAATAAAAGTACTCAGTCCTGATTTGCAAAACAGGTTAAAACAGAAAAGGACATCAGGTTTTAAAAAAATACTTTAACTCATCTATGTTATTTTAAAGTAAGAAACTGGCTTTACGGATATGCTTTCAAACCACACAAGTGTGGAACCAATTATATTCAAATTTAAAAAAAATAAATTGTTATTTAATTGCATTAAACAGTGGTGCACTGGTTCCAAAAAGCAGGATTTGTCTAAAAAGGTCTATTTATGCTGAATATAACTATATATACTTGATTTAAAGGCCCATAAATATATAAACAATATGTTTTATAACAACATGATTATAAAATGTATTATTTATATGTTACTTCTGATATAACAATCTGACCTTTGCAATCACTTAATTTAACCCTAAGTGCCATTTCTTTAATTTATTACAATGGTTAAAAGCGATTTAAATGACTTTTTAATTAGCATTTTTGCAATTATTTTTGAGACTAATTTTAGATAATGTGCACAAAGTTTTTTAAGTCAAATAATTAAAAAATTTCTAAAAGCGAATAAAAATTTTTTTTTCTAAAAGGCCTTTCCAAGATAAAAATTTTAAAGCCCATGCAAGATTCCCCCATAATCTTTCTGATCTTACTTGGAAATCATATATCAAATTTGTTGCAAAATTAGCATCTGCTAAAGTTGCATCTCTTTATCGAGCTTGACACTTTCTTACTCTTAATTCTATTCTCTATCTCTATAAATCTCAAATCCGGCCTTGTATGGAATACTGTTGCCATATCTGGGGCAGATCTTCTAATAATGCCCTTTCTCTTTTAGACAAGGTGCAAAAACGCATTGTAAATATAGTTGGACTTGCTCTTGCAGCCAACCTTCAACCTCTGTCACATTGTCGTAATGTTGCTTCTCTTTCTCTTTTCTACAAATACTATAATGGGCACTGCTCAAAAGAGCTAGCGTCTCTTGTGCCATCTACTAAAATTCATTCTCGTGTTACTCGTAATTCAATCAAGTCTCACCTCTTCTCTGTGACTGTTCCTAAGTGTTCCAAAAACTCTTATTTCTCTAGTTTTTTTCCTCGAACATCAGTTCTTTGGAATTTGCTTCCTTCATCTTTCATATTCATATAATTTGCAATCTTTTAAGTTGTCTGTCAATCGTTATCTTGTTCTACAATCTTCATCTTTTCTCATCCAGTAACTTCCAACACTAATTAGTGGTTGCTTGCCTCCTTGTTGGAAGCAAAGATGTTTAAAAAAAAACTAACTCATTTAAAGCTTATGAATTTCCAGTCAGCAGCTACACCATGCAACAAAAATAAAGTATTAAAAAATATCATTGGATACTATATACTCAGGTTTTATTTAACATTTTTTTACTTTAGCTATTTACAGAGTATGGTCGGTTGGCTCTTGCAGAAAGCAGTTCAAAACCATTTCAGGTATTTTCTTTTTAAATAACAAAAATACTATAGACTTATTACTGGGAGCATCTAAAAGTGCAGGTCAGAAACCCTTATGCTAGTGCATTATTACAGTTCATCAACCTTGGAAAACAGCAAATTTTCTTATCCTTGCTCCATGCCACTGCGCCATACTAATTTACTAACTTAGTAAACTGTGTTTTATTTGACAATTTAAAAACCTGTATTATATTAAATAAAAGAACACTGAATACAGAAAATTAACATATTTAATTAGCTTCTTCTTTAATAAGTATATAGAAAAAGAGAAAAGGTAAGTATACAGTATTAATAAGTAAGTGTATATATCATTAAGTAGTATAGAAAAAGATTATATGCAACCAGTCATTACGTTTTGTAATTAAGTTAAGCATGTTTCAGTATGCTAGTTCATGTTATTTATGCTAATTTATGTCATTTATGCTAATTTATATTACTTATGTTATATTCTGTTACACTAATGCTAGTTATAGAGTTAAAATTAAATTTTTTCATTATTAAAATATTTGAGCGTTTGGAATTTCTTGTGCGTGATTGGAGCTATCCTTATGAACATCCTTACGGAAATGGACAAAGTTTTCTTGACAAAAGAATTTCAGTAATTGTTTATTTTATTTTTATTTAAGTGTGTTGCCAGTAAGTCTTGTAGTTAATGCATTAAAATAATTTTTTAAATTTTATGAATTATAATTTTTTTTTGGAGGGGAAGAGGATAATCTTCAAGAACTGAGTACTTTGAGAAATTTTTAGATTGATAATGAACAACACCAGGAATTAAAACGATCTCGCAGTCAAATTACAAGTTGTTTTGAAAAACTTGGCTGTTTCCTAATGCCTCATCCTGGAAAAATTGTAGCAAGCAATCCAAATTTCAAAGGCAAACTTAAAGGTAAATTTTTATACCTGTTGTTTTATAATTATTATTATTATTAGATAGATTTTTTTCCTTTATGACTTATTATATTTCTAAACTAAAAAGCACTTCATTTTACATTTGATTGTTTAAGATATCGATGAAGATTTTATAGAGTATCTTTCAATATTTGTTCCATCCTTACTTGCTCCAAAAAATTTACAAGTTAAATGTATAAATGGTAGTGATGTTACTTGCCGTGGATTATTAGAATATTTTAAAGCATACATTAAAGTCTTTGAAGGTGGTGAATTGCCAGAACCAAAATCAATGTTGCAGGTATTTTTCAAAATGTTGAAAATTTATATATCCAGAATCAAAAAAACAATAAAAAAAAAAAGCAAAAATTAAGAGATTTTTTCAAAATTCCTTACTTTAAATAGATTAAATGAATAGAACAAATAAAATATTAAACAAAAAAGAATAGAGCAAAACATTAAAAATTAAAGTTTTTTTTGTGGTTTTTTGAAAAAAAATAATGTTTTATGTACTTCCGCAATTAATGTAATAATAATAATATCAATTGTATAAAATACAAAATATAATCTTTTACACTGGTACCCTGAAGGTCACCTAAGGCCTTATGTTCTATCCCATAAGTGATCTATTTGTACATTCTAGAAGTGTATATAAAATGTTAGTGTTTTTATTTTCTAACTTTGTACTTTTTATCTTTAGTTCTAGTTCTGTTAGAAAATGTTAGTTCTAAATCAAGAAAATAAATATCATACTTTGCTAAAAATCATGAGTTTTCAAACATAATATACAAAATAATTTTTAAATTATGTTTGAAAAAAGGAAATAATTTGACTTATAGGGATCCCAAACTCCCAACACATGTTGTGTTCATATTTAAGATAATGTTAAAAAAAAAGGTTTGAACCAAGTTTTTTTGATTAAAAATAAATAATGAATGCATACCAAGAAAAACTAATCTTGTTGTTTTAGCGGAAGCAAGCCTTCTCTATTTTACTCAAAAACTCAGAGTCTTTAAATTATACATTGCGATCTACAGACTTCCGCAATTCTTTTGAAGCGTGTTTAAAGTTTTAGTATTTGACATCACGGTAGACTTTTGACAAATGAAAAATGTAATTAAATAAATCTGCGTTTTTCTACTTTAATTCAGTAAGTATGTTGTAGAATTTTTTTTAACATATAACAAAACGAATTTATTTGTATTAATTTTCAAAACATCGCAAAAAAAATTTTGGTAAAAGTAAAAATAATAAATTATTTTTATTTTAGCGGAGCAACATTTTTTACAGATATCATAATAATTTTTAGATTTGTATATCTTATATTTCTTTTGTTTTTAAATTAAAACAAATATTAAAGCTTTACTTACGAACTTTATGATTTTCATACAAGTATTTTACATTATATAGAACGCTAAATATACAGTCTCTTGTTTTTGTGCAAGAGACCACAGTATTATATATTCTGAATCTTACTTATTTTCATTTAAACAATGGAAACTATTTTCTAACCTCTCGAGTCATTTTTACGCTATGACATTTTTTTATTTTCCCGTCAAAAAAAAGTATTTATTAACAATTACTTTTATTAACTGACAGTATTAATTAGATAACGAAACTTTAAAAATGTCGGCAACTCCATAGCGATTAGAACCTGTTAAGGTTATAAAAAAAAAGTACAAGAATACACTAAACAATACAGTTGGCAGTCATATCAGATATGAAAATTCTTGAAAGGATAAGTGAGATCCTGGTTTTGTATTACAAGTACAACTAAACAGCACAAGTTGGCATTATAAATTTTGATTATAAGTTTACTGTTCAATATTTTATAACCATCAAATTAAAAACATGAAGTATCAGGGTGGCCACCGGTCATGGAAATCATGGAAATGTCATGGGATTTTATTTGGTCATGGAAAAAGTCATGGAGTTCCTAATTTTCATTGAAAGTCATGAAAAATTCATGGAACTTTTGAAATTAATTTTTATTTTTTTCTACTTGTGATATTTTTAGGATGCAAAGAAAAGTACCAGTATGTCTAGTCTAAGTCCTTTTTGAAAAATATATTTTTGCAGTGTAAGTTATAGATTATCAGAAAAGTAAAAAAAAAAAAAGTTTTTTTCAGACATCTCAGAACTTTCTACCAATTTTTTGGTTTGCATGTTTTATGACCAAGTTGCAAATGTTTAGTACTTGGCAAGTACTGAGTAATTTACTGGTTAGTGGTTTATCATAAAAGTTTATGAAGAGTCATGGAAAAGTCATGGAATTTCATTTTCAAATTTGAGTGGCCACCTTGAGTATGTATATTTTTGCATGTTAACGTTTAACTAAAATACAGATAAATCATTATTAACACAATAATTAACACATTAATTAATGGCAATAATTCAAGATAGATGGTAATTTAAATTGTCAAAATGTCATAACGCGCGTTAAAAAACATATGAAATTTGGTATTTCTCAATTTATGTGTTGTATTTGGCATTTGTCTCTTAACATGGAAAATTAAAAACCTCACAAAATAGACAAGTACAGTTTTCAAGCAATTTTCTCTTCCAATTCTCATTTATTTAAAGAAAAGTTACAGTTAAACTTTTATTTCTCTTATTTAAAAAAAGAATGAGTGACGCAAAAAAAAAAATTCTATACAACTCTTATTCATTCAAAGTTTAATTACATGAAACTTTTCTTTCTCTTTTGTTCTACTCTTTTATAAAAAGAGTGCGCAATGAAATAAAAACTTTTCTTTCTTAAAATAGAATTAAACTTAAAGATAAATTAGAAATAAATCAACAATGAGAAAAGCATCTAACAGTCCAATCTGGGACTATTTTGATATTGATGAAAATAATCAACATAAACAACATTACGAACAACAATAATCAAATAAACAACACAATATCATATAATTTTAGGGGCATTTTATTTTTATTGTTTAGTTGTTCTAAATAATAAATAAATTTAGTTTAATATTTCAATATTTACAGTTGCAACAAAATAAAAAAAAGATGTTTAATGTTGAATTTTTTATTTAGTTATTTATTTTTTACCTACATTTGTTTTAAATATTATTTTGACATGATTATTTAAACTAAGTTCATGCAAAGCAAATTTAGACGAAATATTGTCTAACCAATTAAAAATGCTTTTACTAATTTTATACAGGTAATTAATATAAAACAATTTCAGAATCTTGATTGAGATAATAAATATTCATCATTTATTAATATTAAATATAGCACAATATAATATATAATAGCAACGAACCAGCATAAAATATTTAAGGTAATCTTTTTAAATGTTAAAAGTAGAAAATAAATAACTGAACAAATAATGAAAAAATTTATAAATAAAAAAAATTTAAAATTTTCCAGAGTTTCATTAGTCTAAAGTCTACCGTGATGTCAAATACTAAGACTTTTATGAATTAAACGCACTTCAAAGGAATTGCCCAAGTCTGTAGATTGTGACGTATAATTTAAAGACTCCAAGTTTGTGAGTAAAATGGAAAAGGCAAGCTTCGGCTAAAACAATAACATTAGTTTTTCTCGCCTTGCATTCATTATTTATTTTTAATCAAAAAAACTTGGTTCAAACCTTATCTTAAATTATTATCTTAAATATGAACACAACATGTATTGGGAGTTTGGGATCCCTTTAAATCGTGATATTGTTAACTTATTGCTATTAACGTTAACTTATATTGTTATATTATTGGATTTGGTCTAAACAATAAAGTTCAAATTCAATAAAGCAAGTCCAAAGCAAGGGAAAAAATTTAAAAACTTTATCAAAAGTACTTTTGGGATAACTACTCTGTTGACAACCATTATCTGTCTGAAATGCAGAAAAAAGTCTAATAAGTTTAGATAAAGTAGATTCAAGGAGCTTTTTATTCACCAATAAACCAATAAAATCACTCACTAAATTTTTATTATTACTATTTCTCTGAAAATGAATTTATTGAATGCTGAGCAATGTTGATTCAGCCTAAACAAATAAAAACTTGATGCTGAGCAATGCTTGTTGCAAAGATAAAAAAAAAGATGGTACAATAAAAAAGCTCATGCAAAATATAATTTTTTAAAAAACAAAATTTATTAGTGCTTTTTAATTTATTAGGTTGAGCTGTGTAATACTTGCAGAAAAGTTAAAAAACATCCAAGTTAAAAAAAATGAATTTATTTGATGTTTTTTAACTTTGCTGCAAATAATACATGGCTCAACCTAACCTAAACACTAATAAATTTTGTTAAAAAAAACATTATATTTTGCATGAGCTTTTTTGTTGTACCATCTTTTTTTTATCTTTGCAACCAGCATTGCTCAGCATCAAATTTTTATTTGTTTAAACTGAATCAACATTGCTCAGCATCAAATAAATTCATGTTTTTTAACTTTGCTGCAAAGAATACATGGCTCAACCTAAAAAACACAAATACATTTTGTTTTAAAAAAAATTATATTAGAGCATTTAAAATACCATGTCTAAGAGGCCTGCAAAAATATAGGTTGCCTGCACAAGCAATATCTGTTAGTGATGCGCACCTTCTGCCAAGTCCGTTTTAGACAGTCATTTAACAGCTCGTGCACTCAGTTCCTCTTTTTATTGGCATCAGACTTTTTCTATAAATTTTTTTCAACAAAAATTTGAAAAATGTTTCTAAACAAAAATTTAATACTGTATTATAAAAATAATTGTTAAATAAACCAAACTCTCTATATATAATATAGTAGGGGTTATGATAAAGTGGCAGCAATTGCTCCTATCATGTGAAACATGGCTGTAAATGGATTATTCAAAACTTACAGGTATGAGCAATGCTTGTTCAGCTTAGAGAGTATCAAATCACGCTCGTTCAAAAAGTTTGGGAAGAGGAAAATGATAAGTTGTTTAACTGATTTTTGATAAAATATTTTTGATAAAAATATTTATTTAAAACTTGTTTAATTTAACAGTAAAGTTTTGTCTTCCTTCAGTTAACAAGGCACTGATATAAAATGTTAGCATTATGTCACTTGCCTCAAAGTAGAATGCATGTTTCTGTTTTGCACCAAATTAAGAAATGTGCTCAAATAAATGCGAATAGAAAATTATTATACAAACGCAATGTGATTAGAAAATTATAAGAAAGTTAAAACTTCAGAATATTTTTAATTTTGTAAAAACCTCAATAAACCAATTATAATAAATAGTTTTGAAAAACTTAAATTAAATTTCTTGTGTTTTAATAATCTCTTAATTTTTTAACGATAAAAAAAATGTAAATTAAATATGAAATTAGCTTAAAAAAACTTATTCTAATAATTAAAAAGATATCAAGAAATACAAAAACCTCCGTTTTTTTAACCTTAATTAAGTTAACAGTATAGTATCATTCAAATCAGCTGAAGCAAAAACTTAAGTCACCAATTATTCTTCAATACTACCCTTAGGTGTAGTATTGAACCCCTTAGCCCCAAGGTAGGGGCCCCTGCCTTGGGGCTCTTGTTTTAGTGAAGGCTGGAGATGGTGTTTTGATAAAAGTACTTATCTTGGACTGTTAAGTGCATCTGGCTACTATCCGGCATGTTAAATGCATCCGGCTACTGTCTTGTAGAAGGTCTCCTAGGCAAAGAATGAAACAAAGAGGTAAACATATTCTATCTGTTGACCAGCTTTGCGCCCCTTCATCATCTATTTGGCTGGCATAGATGTATTTATAATACATTGGTTCCAGTTTAGGATATTAAATGCTGGATCTGCTTGACTCATTGCATGGGCTTTGCTTGTGTCTCTGTTTTTATGACTAGGCAACTCATTCTATTATTTTCTAATAAGGGTACAGCTCCAAAACTCAGTTTTATGGTTCTGAGGGTGGCTGGTAGTCAGGTTTCCCAAACTCTGTAGTAGCTCTCAGAGAGGCTGATTTCATCAACAGCTGTAAAATATCAGAGTATTAACAGTGCCATGTTATATAATATAATAGGGTGTCCCTATTCATATTTTGTGTGTGCTTTGTCAAGGCCTCATTTGGAGCCCTTTGTTACCACTTAGGGTTTGTTAGCCAACCTTCAACCTCTGTCACATTGTCGTAATGTTGCTTCTCTTTCTCTTTTCTACAAATACTATAATGGGCACTGCTCTAAAGAGCTAGCGTCTCTTGTGCCTTCTACTAAAAATCATTCTCGTGTTACTCGTCATTCAATTAAGTCTCATCCTTTTTCTGTTACTGTTCCTAAGTGCTCCAAAAACTCTTACTCATCTAGTTTTTTTCCTCCAACATCAGTTATTTGGAATTCGCTTCCTTCATCTTGCTTTCCTGATTCATATAATTTGCAATCTTTTAAGTCGTCTGTCAATTGTTATCTTGCTCTACAATCTTCATCTTTTCTTATCCAGTAACTTCCAACACTAATTAGTGGTTGCATGCAGCCTTGTTGGAAGCAAAGATGTTTAAAAAAAAAAAAATATATTTGTGGTCTTCGAAAGTAACTTTTCTTCTGTTTAGTCTTATCTCTTGCAAAGTTCATTGGACCTACTCGCTTTTTATGAGACTAGTTTAAGTTTAGCTGTCTCATATTAAGATCTTAGTGTTGATGGTTATCTTCAATCACATGCTTGGCTAGGCATTACATTTACATTACTTACATTCGTAAGAATTCACCCAATTATTAGGAAACTAGGTTTGAATCGACAAACTATTCTTTAATGTGCTTTTGTTTAGCGCCACTTCTTTCTATCATTTTTCTCTTTGTTTTATATCGCTCTTCTTCATCTCAAGACTGCACTCTTTTTGATATTATTTCTGATCAGGTTGACCAAAACTTTGTCTTTATCCTTCAGCCAATATCGTTGTTGTTGGTGACTTTAATGTTCATCACACTGAATGGCTTGGTTCCAGTGTCAGTGACTCTGCGGGTGTTAAGTTCCATAACTTTTGCTTTTCTCAATCTCAACACAAATAGTTTTCTAAAAACTTTCAACAAAAACTTTCCTATCGCTTTCCAGGCAATCTGAATCATTTACATACTCTACTTGAGTTTTGTTTTATTTCTGATCCTAGTCAGTACTCAGTTTCTCCATATTCACTCTTAGGTGCTTATGATCACGGTTTGATCACTCTAAAACTATTATCTATTATTCTTTTTCATCATTAGAATCCCTCTATTATTGTATCTCTTACAACTCTCTTTAAGCTGACTGGAACTCTTTCTGTGATATTTTTGGTAATGGCCCTTTATGTGTAGATAGCCCTTTATGTGTAGCGGTAGTGGTGTAGTGGTAAAACACTCGCTTCATATGCGAGAGATTCCGAGTTTGATCTCCACCACGTCCCTGGTAGTACTGCACTCAACTTGTTTCTCCGCGCAGCGGTTTTGTTCGTCAAGGTTCGTGTTTCGGAGTTATAGAGTTGAGAGAGGGTTATAACCACTATTAAGTAGCCTCCTTGTCTGTAGTGGCCTTCTCGGCCTTGAGGAGGTGAATAACGAACAAAAAAAAAAAAAAGATATTTTTATTCTTCTTGCTGACAATTGTGCTTCTTATGTAACTTCTTGGATTCAGACTGGCATGGATTCTTTTATTCCCTCTAGACGTTTCCAAGTCAAGCCTCACTCTTCTCCATGATTTTTCTCACATTGTGCAGCTATAATTCCAATCGTAACCATTACTTTCATATCTACTGCCAAAACAATTCTCCTAAAAATAGACGTCTGTTTACTATTGCTAGAAACCATTGTAAAAAGGTTTTGTCTAATGCCAAAGCCCTCTATTGTCAGGTCACAAAAGTACCTGTGTTATATCCACTTTAATTATTATTCAAACTTTTGTAACAAACTTTTTTACATAATTGCCATTGAAAAGTTTAATTGATTTTTTATAAAATGAATTATTTCCTTTTTCTTATCACTTACAGACTAATTTAAAAGTTAAACAATGATAAAAATTCACTTAATCTCTTTAGGCCTATGTAATTTAGCTTAAATGAGTACTTAAATTTCAAGCTGCGTAACACTTAAATTGCAAGCTGCGTAACAAACAAGGCCTGTAAGAATTTATAAATTATTACAGGCCTTGTATAAAATGTTATAGTATTTATAAATTATTACAGGCCTTGTATAAAATATTATAGTATTTATAAATTATTACAGGCCTTGTATAAAGTATTTAAAAAATTTATAAATTATTATACTTATTATCATTAAAACATATGAAACTATTAATTTTGTTAATTTTTTTTTTTAATCAATTTTTTTTAGGCAACAGCTGAAGCAAATAATCTTGCTGCATTAGCTGCTGCAAAAGACCAATATCAGAGGGACATGGAACAGGTGCATTTTTTAATATTAAAAATGACTATTGGGATTTAGTTTTTTTTGGTATGCAGTTTAGTTTGCAGCTTAAATAAAATTCCTTTTGAAAGATCTTTTTATGCTTCAAGAAAAAATCAATGTTTTAAATAAGTAAATAATCATACCATCCATTTTAAATCTTTTCAATTTGAATACAATAATTTGTAAACCATGAGTGTAACAACATAAAACCTGGTGGTCTTGTATTTGTATTTTGTAGCTTTACATAGGCCAAAAATTGTCTAAGTTCCAGGTTGCAAGATATTTAGCGCTTGAACTGTTTTTAACTCAGAAAAGATGGTTATTGTTATATTATAAAGATGTCTATTTATGATAATAAGTTTAAAACAATAAACTGTTTGTATAAACCAAAAACCTTAGTCATTGAATGTACACCCACTGTGCTGATCTCTCAAATAGAAGTTTGTGTATAAATATTCTACTGATCTTTAAAAATTATTTAGTATATATGTCTTAAAAATATAGATAACACCTATTTGTTTCTTTAAAAAAAATTATTTGATTTAATATTTTAAACTCAATCTAAAATCTTCAATTGTTGTATGTACACTAGGGTATATGTTCCACTAGGGTGGTGACATTTATACATCTTTGTTTCCTTTTATCATAATTTGGTCCCAGTTTTCACCAAAGGTTGAATAAAATCTTACTATCAAGGTGTTAAAAAGCTCATGCACAAAATAATTTTAAATATTTTATATATCCATTTTTAAGTCTGTTTTTTGAGGTCATTCAAGCAAATATTAGAATTCAAGCTTTATAGTAAGCTTGTACACACACAAACCAAACTTGAACCAACTTTTAAATTTACTGGTAAATAAGTAAAAAAAAGCATAGTTTACCGGTAAATATCAGTAAAATCGGTAAAAAATAAAAAAATCATAGAAACTTGTATAAAATTTTTTTTCATTTCAAAATAAGGTTTTTATAAGATTCAGATCTAATATCTTTATTAATAATTGTTATATTGATAATATTGTTAAATATTAATAAAATATTGTTATATTGAGCTTTGAGGAAACAAAGTGTATCAAGTAAGTTGTCATTCATTTTGGATCAAATTTTTGTCAGCAGCTGAAAAGGGTCGCTCAGACTCAATACTTGTTGGAGGTCTCCAGTGCATTGAACAAAAGTTCAAGATTGGCAGTTCTCTTTCCAGTCGCATCATAGACCAACATTTCTTTTGAAATGGCTTTGAATTCGTCATTTGAATTGTGGCGCTGTTTTTTGGCCGAATGCTGAATTGCTTCCTTGAGTTCATCTTTAAGTGAAAGCGGATTTTCATCAAGAATTTCTGAGCCCCACACTTCTTGAATGAATTTTAAGTCCTCTGGATTTGTTGGGAATAGTCTAGACAACAAATCTTTACCAGTCTTTTGAATTATAGACTTCGAAGGTTTTTTGAAAACTCCATGTGCTTTAATGTCGGATAAACATTCTGCATTGGAAAGGTATCTGTACAAGCTTACAAGATTGCTCTTCAAAATGTCTCAAAATTGCACTCTTTATTGCAATGCTAAGAGTTGAATCTCATCGTTTTAGTCTGTTCACAAGAAACTTCAAAATTCCCTCAGCAGTAAGAAGAATTATATTTTTTAACTTTTTCAATTTCAGATTACAATTTATGTGAAACGCAAACTGTTACTTGGAAAAATTCAAACCCATGCATAAATAAGACTTTTACTGTTTACATTCATATTCCATACAAAATACCAATTAAAAAATAGCAAGCAGGAGTCACAGAGAAAGATCTTGGCAAGGAACAAAAAAATGAATCTAAAAAAGAAATGATGATCCTCGGGTGCAATTGAGTGCTCCTGGAAAGACTCTTTCGGTGGTATGGGTGGAAGCAAGCTTGTTAGTAACCTCCACGTGGTTACTAACAAGGTCTATCAACGGTAAAACATTATTTTGATTTTGACAAGGTCTTTGTGCCATAAAAAAAACATAAAACTTAAACTTTGCAGTGGTATTCTTGTAGTTTAGTCAGTAAAAATCATGTTGTTTATTGCATTTTTATGTAGTTGAAATGCAGCCGTGGTCATATTTGAATCTAGCATCAACAACAATGCTTCATTGAAGACTCTGCATTCTAAATATATTTAATTGATTGATTAACTGTTTCCAGAATAGTTTAAGATGGGCATATGGACAAAGGACAACTGAAAGAATGTTAGCAATTGATTGATGCAGTATCTTGAATAAAAATGATGTTATCTCTTAAAGAGTTCTAAATATCAAAATAATTCATCTAAAAATAAAGCTGAAATTACTGTTGTTTCTTCCAGACATATAACTGTAAAAAAAAAGATTTGTACTTAAACAAAATGTAATAACATTAAACATAATGAAAAGGTTGAAGAAATTCAAATTTTTGGGGGAATATAAGGCAGCAACAATCATCATATATACAAAAAAAATATATATTATTTTATTAAAACTCTTGGTCAAAAAATACTATATAAACCGTTATATATTTATTATATATTTACATTGTTTAATAGATTAGTAGCAAAAAATGTAATCAAACTTTAGTAAAAATAATAAAATGTAAACTCACTTTTAAACAATTTATTTAAAACTTGTTTTTGCAATACCGGACATTAATTATTTGTTACTAGGGATTGCGAATTCCCAGACTTTTTGCTATCCCGGGATAGCGGGTATTATTTGTAGCGTTCCTGGGATCCTGGGAAATTTCTGGGAATGTACATTTAAGTAAAAAACAAGTAACTTTTTTTTTCTTTTCACTTTATTTCTAAAACTATTTTTGTGATTTAAAGTAAGGGTCTGCATCTCAGAACGGTACAAGACGAAACGAAACAAAACGATGAAAAATATCGTTTCGATAAAACCGTTACAAAATGAAACAATTTTTATCTTTTTTCGCAAAATACGGTACGAAAAGAAATAGAATTTTCTGGTTTCGTGATAAATACGGGACACAAATTTTTTGTTTTGAAAAAACCGGTACGAAATGAAATAAGATTAAACTTTTTCCGAAATAAAACGGTAAAAAACGAAACAAACAAACAAGAAATTTCTGAGTTTTACGAGAAATACTAATGTTTTTACGACAGATAGGGCTAGCATAAAATAAAAAAGTAATTTACTTTTATATGGAACCAATTTAAGCACACATTTGCGATTTTTACGAAAAATCAGTTTTTATTTAGACAATTATATTTCACGATTTTAAAATTTCACAATAAAAAGTAAAACATTTTTATTTTAATACTTGTTGAGTGTCACTTTCAGATGTTTTTTCGGATGATGTTGTTTCGGATTCTTCTGGAATTTCCATTGTTTTTCTTTTGATTCCTGAAGATGTTGGTGTTGATGGTAAAGAAGAAGAACATAATGGCGTTGTTGAAACGTTTTTTGTTTTGAACAATAACCTTTTTTGGTTATTTGAAAAAACTGCTTTAGGAATAGGATTTTTGGGAGGTGTTCTAACTGGAGTTAATGCTGGGGGGTCCAGGGCTTCTTCAGCGTCGCTTATAATTTTCAAGGTCATGTGAGGACAGACAAGATCATAATTGACTTTAATCAAAGTCAATTGCTTTGCTGTCTGAGTGGAAAGACTGTGTCTTTTATCATTTATAATTCCACCGCTGGCGCTGAACACTCTCTCACTACAGCTTGATGCAGCTGGAATGCAGAGCAAATTTCTTGCCAATTGTGCTAACAATGGCAAAGTAGAGGCATGTTTCTTCCACCATTTCAGCACATCAACTTTATGCTTTTCTTCAACACGAGGCATAGCGTGGAAAGATTCAAACTCCCTTTCAATTTCCGGTACATTTTGACTAATGGTGTGGTTATTATTACCCTGTTCAATCTCTATATTTTGTAAATCGTCGCACTCATCCACACCAACTGGCATTTTAACTTGTGTAGCTTTATGATTATTTTTTTCACTGATCGAAACAGCGTCCGACGATGGATGATCGTTGATGACTTTTCTGGTGAACTCTTCGAAGATACCGTAATGTCTAAGCAAATATCCTGAAATCATAAACAATAACTGTTAAATTTAGTCTTTTAACAAATAAAGAATATTAAAGAATGTTTTTTTTACCAAGAAATAAAACTTATAACCTCTAAAGTACGGATGAAGAAGGTTTCCCAAGGCATAGGGTTGTATCTTCCATGTTCATTGAATCGCGTGGCTAGGTGTAAATGCTCACTTAGTTTTTCACAAAAAGCATTAACTATTTCTCTGTTTTCCATATCAATGTGGTCATGAAGAAAATTTTCAGTTTTATAAAGCATAGTTAGCATATGATGAAGCACTGGTTCAGTGTCCTTGGACATGCAATCTGACATAATCAGGCTTTCCCAGGAAAGGCATGCGGTCGCACGCCTTGTTTGTCCACGAATAGAATAAATTTTTCTGACTAACTGACCACGTTTTATTATTATGCGTTTTAAGAATTCGCGCCAAAACAAAATACCGCAAAAATGCAAGCAATCTTAAAGTAAATAACAGAAATCTGTTTGTGCTTTAAAATTAAAAAGTTAATGTATATTATTAAAAAAAAAATTTACCTATATTTTATTTATATATTTTTTTAGGGTGGTAGTTATTTAAGCTATGAAAAATCAAATCAATAAGAAAAATCAAATTAAAAAGAAAATGAATAATGTTTAAAGAAAATAAAAGGACCTTTTAATGTAAAATTTGTTTATGACTTTTATCAGTCAGTAATACTTTAATATTCACGATAGAACTATAAACAATTTTTAAATGTTTCGTAAATACATTTAAATGCTTAAATGTATTGATTTTAATGTTTGAATGTATTGATATGCAAGAAAACATGAAAACGATTGCTATTTATTAGTAAAACATGTTTGTTTTTTAAATGAAAGAAAATTTTATTGTCAAACGATTGAGTTGCTTATTTTGAAATCATTAATTGACATTGTGAACGAGTGTTAATATATAACAATGTCCCGAAGGAACTGTTTTCGTAACAATGACAACAGAAGCAATCCAATTATTTTTTTAACTTCTTTCGTAATTACAAAATTATGCGATTGAATAATTTCAACGTAATAAAAGGCGAGCATTGACTCAGTATAATCAGTTTAGAATAAGTCGAGAAAGAACTTTTTTCACATAAAAATTTTGTAATGTTTAAAATCTTAGATAATATATTTAATAATTAAAACAGCAATTTATTTTCTTGTCTAAGTATTGGGGAATAAAGTCATTGCCTTTGCATAAGCCTTCATAAAAACTAAATTAAATGAAAAAGTTTAACCAAATTTGTCTAGAGTAAATAATGAATCAGTTTTTTAATACATTGTCTGATAAACTTCATGAATAAATTACGTATCAAGTCTTTTTATTTTCGTGAAAACTTTATGACTTATCGTCGTCTTTTCCTTGACTTGTATCAAATTTCGTAGCTGAAAATAGCAACCCTAATAAAATAAAACAACAGTATAAAAATTTTGAAAAAATAGTTCAAGACTTTTTTTTTTTGTTACAACAATTTTTTTTTTTTAATTTTTTTTTATTATCAAAATATTTTTCTTACATCCAATTTCAATTTTATACTTTGTTTAGACTTCGTTTCATTTTTTTAAAATTATTTTTTATTCTCTGTGGATAATTTCCGCTTTCTTACAAAATATTGCCGCGGTCACGTTTTCTGAAAATTTATTCTATGCGTGGACAAACAAGGCGTGCGACCGCACGCCTTTCCTGGGAAAGCCTGCATAATCTTCATTTTTTTAAAGACTGGCATCAGTGAAGCCATCAGTGAAAATTGGTTGTCACTTGGAAAAACGTTCTGTAGTGGGTTGTTATTTAGTGCATCTTTTTCTCTAAGAGAAATCAACACATCTTTAAGTTTAAGGATTGACTCCAGCATAAAACAGTTAGAATTCACTCTTTTTCATTAAGTTGACAAGCTAAGGTGGATCTGTGGACTTTGCTAGATAGTTGTGTGGCAATATCTATGCATTCTTTGACTTCTTGCACTTCATTGGTAGCATGTAGTAGGCTAGTGTTTAGTAGGTGGTCTGCACACAACAGTGATTCATATTTTGTTTTGTTCATGATTGACACAGCATGTTTCATGTTTGCCGCCGCATCGTGGACAATGACTTTCTTGGGCACGGCGTCCAATACCGGATATTTTTGGATCATTTCTTCCAGAGCCTTAAACAAGAATGAAGAAAAATTAATAATTTATAAGATAACTTATGCAGCTTTTAGGTTTTACAATAAATTATAAATTCTTTCAATAATTGACAAAATCTTAGAAGAAACGCTATTCTAGCGGAAGGATAAGTTTTATTTTTTTAAATTATTTTTGCACTTACAAATTTATATTTACGAGAACAAATTATATCAACATAAGAAAAATTACTTTGCTAATGTGGTAACCAGTGTGTCTTCCCACGAAATTGTCAAAGTTGAGAACATATTTTTTCAGTTCAAACTGACTATTGATATAGTGAAGCGTAAGAGTCATGTATGGATCCTGTGACCTAGAGGTCCAACCATCAGTGGTGATAGCCACCTGTTGACAAGTAGAAACTTCTTTTTCAATTAGGTTTTGCACAGTATCCATAACGCTTTCATAAAGCAATGGCAGCTTGTACCTTGAAAAAGTCGAGGAATGTTTCACAATTACTTTTGGATTTAAATGTTCCACCATTTCTTTGAGGCATGGTTCATCTACTAGAGTGAATGGACTACTTGACCTGGCAATGTATGACATGATTACCATGTCTGTCTCCAATTGCCTGCCTGATTGGGAAGAATATTTCCCAATAGTTCCCCCATTAACACATTTAGATAAGCCTTTTTGTGATTGTTGATCTAAAAAAACGAAATAAAAATTAAAATTAAACATGAAAATTATCTTTATACAAGGAAAAACATTATTTTATGAAAAATAATTAGAAACTTACTGTATGCGTCATTCAGTTCGAAGGCAGCTTCTGTAATTTCTTTAATATCTTCTTCTCTTTGGCGCTCAAGTTCAATTTGGGCTCTTAACATTGTAGCGTAGTCAGTGGGATGCTTTGTTTTCAGATGGTACCTGATACCACTAGTGGATCCATCAGTTAACTTGATTTGGATTTGACACTTTTTACATTCCCCACACTTAACACCTAACACAGTAACTTTATTGAAATAATTCCATAAAATTGTAGCTTTTATAGGCATGATTATATGATTGAGAATTACTATGGTTTTTAAACAATAAATTAATTAGTTTTGCAAAATATTTCAAGTTAACACAACAATATCGCATTTAAAATGTTATATAATATAATTTGAAGTATTTAATTCAAACAATGATTTCAAACTCTTCATGCGAGTTTATAAACAAATACATAATTTATGTCTGATGAACTTAAAGTTAAAATTTTATTACAGTAAAACGGTTTTACTGTAATAAAATTTTAACTTTAAGTTCATCAGTTTTACTAAAACCTACCTACAGAAGACAATATCTTTTTTTAACTTCGTTAGATGCGCTAAGCCTTATGAAAATGATGCTATTGCATTGCTTTGTTAATACATTTTTTTAGTTAAACTTTGATTTACGAAACATTGAGTTAGTAAGTATTAAATGTAAAAGTTTATGTATTGCTCGAGGGCATGGGAATCGTGAAATATCTGTTTGGGCGGGGAGTTATGAAATATTTCGTAAAAACCGATAAGAAACGAAACAATTTTATTGTGTTTCGTAAATAACGGTACAAATCGAAAAAATAATTTCACGTTTCGTAACAACATGATACGAAACGAAACAAGATTTACATGTTTCGTATAAATGCGATACAAAACAAAATGATATTTTTTGTTTCGTAAAAACGGAACGAAACGAATACTCACATTTTTTACCGTTTCATACCGAACTTCCAAGAGAATACGAGCAGACGCAGACCCTTAATTTAAAGTGACCTTATAGAAAAACCAGTGCATCCAAAAGCTTCTGCTGCCAATTTAACTGGTTCAAGAGCAGCAGCAATGTTGTATAAAATGTTTACTTCATCATCACTGCAAATTAAATGTGGAGAAACATCTTTCAATATTTTTCAAAGTGAATCTTTAACTTTGAGAAACTGCTAAATCATCGACAGTAGACTGTTCCATCTTCTTCTGCAGTCAAGGATAATGTGAAACCTCTTTTCCATGCTGTTTCTTGATTTCTTTTTGGAGGTTGGATGACGTCATTTTTGACTGGAAATTTTTGAACTTGATGATTTTTCAGACTTTTGTGATGACAGATTGCAAGTGCACTTTCACTTTTGGAATAAGAATGTTTTAATCCATGGCACCATCAAGAAAACTGACTTCAGTGTCAGATTTGGATTTGTCACTGCTGACTTCATCTTCATCATTTTTAACTGAGCAGACAATACTGTTGCTAATTTTCAACCCAAATTCGGCCACTTTTTCTGTGACAACTGCTGCAGTTTTTTTAACTGGCAAGTCAAGCCTAGATTCTAGAAAAAAAAAAGTGTGTTTTTGACGAATAATAATATTCATTTACCTTTGATTTTTCAAAGAAGTGTACTTATCTAGTGTAATTGAAAAGCATGGACACTAAAGATTTAAAAGTGTTTTTAAGGTCATTTCTCACACCAGCTGCAAACTTTTTAACTGATTGGAAAATCATAAGCTTTTTCACACATGGCAGATTGAATGAAAGAGCTGTTAACAATGGTGTGGAAACTAAATCCATCCAGTGCTGAAAGTGTTGAAATCACTTCTTCAATTGGTTGCTTTGGGAAAAAAGTTGAAATCTTAGGTTTTTTTGATTCTGTTGCAGCTTTTGTTATCAACTGTGTTTCTTTTTTGATTCCATGTTTTTTCTCTAGGTGGTACCACATTCCAGTTGTGGAACTTGAGTATTTACTGGTTTTTCCACATATTTTGCAAGTCAGTTTTACCTTTGTTTAAGGTGTAGTTTTTCCAAACGTCTAACATTTTGACCAAAAGCAAATCAAATTGATTGATAAATGCAACAATAAAGATATCAGAAGAAAGTAGTAATGTCTTTCTTAAAATGTTCAGACAAAACTTAACCAAGAGAATTAGTTTCCAAACAAAACAAACAGTTTAGTTGATAGGAAAGTGATTATTAAAGTTTTAATTATTATTAAGCTATTTCAAACCTTTTGAGCATAATAATTCTGATTACCATCTTCATTTTTAGATTTTGTTATAGAGACAAACAAATAAACGAGTATACATAACATTAGGAATGATATGTGGGTTTCTCATCATGATAAAGAAATCATAATGAAATTTTAAACAACAAGAAAGTTAATACTCTATTAGGTGCAGCTGAAAATCATAACTTCATTATACATCAAAATATTATTCACAAAAGTAGCAAAGAAAAGAAAATTAGTTTCCTAATTGGGGATTTCAAATGAATTGTTTAATTTATAGTATAGTTTAATAAAAATCATTTACCGAAATTTACAGACAATTTTACCAGTAAATCTGTAAAACAATTTTACTGACTGGTAAACTTTCTTACTGGTAAACTAAACTTTCTGGTAAACTAAACTTTCGGTAAAAGCTCAACCCTAGTATATAGAGCTTGTTCTGGTTTTTACGCATCATAATTAATAGAAGGGCTAAAACAGCATTGCTGATCTTAAAAATCTTTTTAAACTTTGCTAAGTGGAAAGGTTATTTTTTTCTTCATAGGTCTTTAAGCTCCTTTGCTATTAGACAAAATTCTCCCTCTTTGTTTATTTGCACTGGATTCAAAAAACTTGAAACATTCAATTATGTATTTTTTTTAGGACATGTGACTTTGTTTGGTCTTCATGTCACACTACATTATCTTAATACCCTTGGAAACTAGATTAAGTTTTTTGCTTAGGTTGTCATGTTTTTCTCTGTTTTAAATAGCTCAAACAACATATTACTCTGCACCCTGGAGCTGACATAAAAGAACATTAAAATGTGTAATTTGCCAGTAAACATTGTATTTAATATCAAATGTGTAATTGTTAGTTTAACTGATTAAAGACACTATTTTTGAATTTTCACATATTTTATTAAAAAGAAAAAAAATGATTACAACTTATAGAAACGATCAAACCAACATTAATAAAATTTTCTAATTTTCATATGTAATTCTATAACTATCGGAAAAATTCATTTAAATAAATTGCTAAATATATATAATACTCCCTTCATATTAAACTTTTGAAAATGTGCATTTATTAAGCAATACTTATTATTAGGCAATATTATTGTTGACACTAGTTTCTACTGGTTCAGGTTCACCTGCTCATTGAGAACATATTGCTTATATCAAAGTTCAAACCACACTGCATAAAGTTTTATAACTCTTTAGAACCTTCTGGAGTAATTAAATTTTAAATAAAACATTAAAAAATATTTATACATAATATTTCAATGAATGAACTTTCAGTCAAAAAATCAGATAAAATACCTTCCATTCTTGTTTCAGAATATACTTTTAGTAAAAAAATATACTTGGAAAAGGAACTTGGATGCACTTTTGTTGTATGTTATAAGTTGCTAATCAACAAACTTTTCTAGAACATTTGTTGTATTGAAAAATACAGTTCTTGTTATCTACTCTCGCGTGCTAAATATATGAGAGGATTTTTATATTTTAATTTTTTCTTGTCACAAAAAAAAATTATTTTAAAACTAAAAAAAAAAAAAAAATGGGAACCGGCCTTAAAACTTAGGAAATATTTTATCAGTCACTGATAAGAATGAAAATTTTCAGTGTAATTAGGTTTTTTGTTGAAAATTATCTTTTGGGTTATTTCTCATGATACATATGTATTTTTTGTGCCAAAACTGTTTTAGTGGTTTGTTTTATTAGAACTGTTTTAATTTAATTATATAAACAATAAAAAATAAATATGAAACATATATTTATTGCTGAAACCTTGAAAATCAATATTAAAAGTGTTTTAAACAAAGCTACAATTAAAACTTAAGAATTAGATTTATATATGTTCTAAAACGTAGCATTTTCACTTTTTCAACAAAATGAGGAGGAATTGTTTTTTATTGACAGAAAAGTTTTTTTGCAGGATGAATAAACTAGATTAGATGTATATAAAAGTCTTTTCATGACATCTTTATTTTTCTTCATTCTGGATCTTTTACAGGAATAATGTATCCTATATTTTTAAAAAATCTAGCTTGACTTTCATCATTATATGGAACTATCAGCAATGATAAACTTTCTATTACTTCTGCTCCATGAATTACAATCTTGTAAAGACTCTTTTATTTCTTATTTGCATGCGTATTTTTTAAATAGTTATTTTGATAATTTTAGCTAAAAATTTAGTCTAAGTTAATTTAATACTTTTTTTTTAAAATTAAATTAATTTATAATTCGTATTTAAATAAGTATTAAAAAATTTTTCTTTTAAAAAAATGCCAAATCCTTAATCTTCAGTTGATGTATGTACACTCAACTGATGTATGTACACTCAACTGTGACTTCAGCTATAGCAGTCGATTTATGTGTGCATTCATGCACATATTCTAAAAAATTATAAACAAAAATAATTAAAAACTACTTCAAATAACACTATTTTAAAAAAATGGTTTTAATATCCACAACACTATGCCACTACCTTACTTGTTTGAAAAATTAATTCATTTTTTAGGGTGCAAATGGTGTTAATAATATAAAGAAATTCATTATTTGTACACAGGTAAAAATAATGAATTTCTTTTAAACACATGAGATATTCTTATTTACGCAAAATGCATTTATATTTCCAGATTTTTTTCAGATGTCTCTTGAAAACATTTTTCCGGATTTTTCCAGATATTTTTAAGGAAAAAATTT